GCTGCGCATGCGTGGTTCCGCCCCCTGCGCCGGCCGAGGCGTAGCTGGCAAGCGGCAGAGACGGAGCAGGCTGACCACCAGCTGGCCCAGCTCAAGGGAGGTAAGGCACCCGCCGGAAAAGGGGGAAAAAATGGCGGGCAGCCTTGCTTGGCGACCCCCGTGAAATGGTCGATCGACCCCAAATGGGGTCGCGACCCATAGGTTGAGAACCGCTGGTGTAGAACTTATATAGAATAACAGAGTTGGAAGGGAGCCTGGAGGTCATCTAGCCCAACCCCCCGCCCGAGCAGGAAACCCTATACCATTTCTGACAAAGGGCAGTCCAGTCTCTTCTTCAAAGCCTCCAGGGATGAAGCACTCACAACTTTTGAAGGCATGCTGTTCCATTGGTTGATGGTTCTCCCTGTCAGAAAATTTCTCCTTCTTTCTAGGTTGAATCTCTCCTTGATCAGTTTCCATCCGTTATTCCTTGTCTGGCCTTCAGGTGCTTTGGAAAAATAGGTTGACCCCCCCCCTCTCTGTGACAGCCCCTCAAATATTGGAAGACTGCTATCATGTCTCCCCTGGTCCTTCTCTTCAATCATTCTCCTTTTCTCTTGAAGATAACAAGGGCTCAACGAAGCATCCTGCTTTCCTACACAACAACCTGGCGAGGTGAGTTGGGTTGGGAAAGAAACTGGAGGTTTTTAAGGAGAGGCTGGACAGCCACTTGTCTGAAATGGTACAGGGTCTCCTGCCTGTTATTCTGCTATCGCCCTGCCCAAAACCCATGCTGTGTAGTAGGGAAGGTTTAGGAACAAGGAGACCCAACTTCAATGTCACCCATGGAACTTCATTGTCGACAGAGGCATCGACAGAGGTGAATTTGGGAATTGAGGAAGTTAATATTGACATAAATTCGTGGGCAGACCATGATCCCATTAAAATTAAAGGGAAGGGGCAAAAAAAAAAAGAGATAAGGAGATGGACCCTAAAAAGAGCAATTTTGAACCAAAATGAATTTAAATTAAAGATGGATGATCAAATGAGAGTTTGTTTTTTCAAAGTAATAAGAAAGAAGACACGAATAATCAGAATCTGTGGGACACGGCAAAAGCCTTTATGAGGGGTATTGCAATATCATATATGGCCAAAGACAACAAACAAAAAAAGACAGCGGCAAAAAAACCTTAGAGGAAGAGCTTAGTAAACTGGAAAGGGAGTTGCAGGAAGAACCCATAAAACGGGAACTGAAACATCAAATAGATATAATTAAACATAAACTAAATATTATTGAAAAAGGAAAATATGGGGCAACAAATGAAAAGCATTAAACAATTTTTTTTTTTTGAAAATGCAAATAAGCCGGGAAGATGGCTGGCTTATAGACTAAGGAAACGGAAAGAAAAGAACCAGATTAGCAAATGAAGAAGGAGAGTTAATTTACCAAAATGAGGAAAAGAGGAAGGTAGCGTATGAGTTCTTTAAAAACCTGTATGAGGATAAGGAGAAGGTGGAAGAAGGCCACACTTGGAATCCTGCATCCAGTTTTGGTCACCGCGATGTAAAAAAGATGTTGAGACTTTGGAAAGAGTGCAGAGAAGAGCAACAAAGATGATTAGGGGACTGGAGGCTAAAGCATATAAGGAACGGCTGCTGGAACTGGGTCTGTCTAGTTTAATGAAGAGAAGGACGAGGGGGGACATGATAGCAGCCTTCCAGTATCTCAGGGGCTGCCCCAAAGAAGAGGGAGTCAAGCTATTCTCCAAAGCGCCTGGAGGCAGGACAAGAAGCAACGGATGGAAACTAATCAAGGAGAGAAGCAATCTAAAACTAAGGAGAAACTTCCTGACAGTGAGAACAATTAACCAGTGGAACTACCTGCCTCCAGAAGCGGTGAATGCTCCAACACTGGAAGTTTTTAAGAAGAGACTGGACAGCCATTTGTGTGAAATGGTATAGGGTTTCCTGCCTGAGCAGGGGGTTGGACTAGATGACCTTCAAGGTCCCTTCCAACTTTACTATTATTATTATTATTAAGATGGTGCAATACCTTCAAAAAGGAACTTCCTTGTCTGAAAAAGGAGGACAACCTGGATCATTTCCTATCCTTGACACTCGATAGGTGGATAGACGTGCCAAATCTAAACATCTGACTGACCGACTGACAAGAATGATGATGGTGATCCCCAGGACATGAGGAAAGAAAGAATCGAGATGCGAGCCATTTTTCCCCCCCTCCAACCTTGTGTAACTGCACAATCCTTTTCTCTCCCCCCCCACCGTCCCTGCTGCATTAAAGCAACTTAGACGGCTGTTAATCTTATTTTCATTAAGTCCTGAAGCTGGAAGAATTCTCCGGAGGACCACAAGTCCCATTCCCAAGGAAAAGCAGAAATGCTGCTGAAGCCTCATTTTGTCTGAGGATTATTGGATGCTATCTCCAATCGGATGCTATCTCCATCTTCGACTAGGGCTGGAAGAGATCTTCCCCTCCTCAATATGGTCTAGAATTCCGCTGGGGCTGCCTTGAAGGATTTGGGGGGTAATCTGGCAGACTTGCCTTCTGGCTATTTGGTTTGATTCCAGTCAGTGCTCGCAAAAGTGGAGTTTTCAACAACTCTTACTCATCGCATCCCACCGGGACCCATTTGGGTAACCTGCTCAATTTTTCCACTCCATTCTCAAATCTTCGGTCTTATCTCTGCTCTCGCCTGAAAGCTTTAACCTTCATTAGAATTTAGTGGCTTGGTTCAACGTCCTAAACTCTAACTCCAAGTTAACAAAACTACTGTTATGGCTGTTATGGCCTTGTTTATGAAAAGTGTTAAAATAATGGATTCCTACAACACCTGCTGCACAAACTTTAGAATTAGAGCTAGGAGGGAGTGGGGTTTATGGGGAGGAGGAGGAGGAGGAGAAGGAGGAGGAGGACTGGAGGGTCCTTGGTGCTCTCTGAGCTTGGTTGTTTTCTTGCAGACGTTTTGTGACCCAACTAGGTAACATCATCAGTGCTAGAAGGGAGGGGGGTTTGCAGGGAGGAGGAGGAGGAGGAGGAGGAGGAGGAGGAGAAGGAGGAGGAGAACTGGAGGGTCCTTGGTGCTCTCTGAGCTTGGTTGTTTTCTTGCAGACATTTCGTGACCCAACCAGGTAACATCACCAGTGCTAGAAGGGAGGGGGGTTTATGGGGAGGAGGAGGAGGAGGAGGAGGAGGACTGGAGGGTCCTTGGT